CCCAATCGCCGCCCAGTCATCGCCGATGGTGGCCCCATAGCTAAACCCGCCCAGGAACGTGTCGTTTCGCTAGCTGAGGCCTCTCGCCGCTCTGTCGGCGATGTACCGCCAATTCAAGCTCGATGCGTCTCCCCCTGGGCTGATCCCCATCCGAACGGCTTCTCACCTTTCCGGGAGCCCAAGGCAGGCACCGACCTTGTTTGGAAACAGTTCCGCCTGCCGCTTGGGGATGTGCACGCCCCAGTCTCAGAGACCCGGCCCGCACCCGAGCTGCTCTCGTGTGCGGTTTCGGCCAGTGGCACGGCAGCCGTCGCAGGCGGAGTCGAGGACTCCCCGAGGTTCGGTCGCTCGCTCCTCCCAATGCATCGATGATGGGCTTGTTTTCCACCACCACCACCACCACCATACGTTGGAGGGGGAGGGGGTCCTCCTCATCCTCTTCCTCCTCCTCCTCCTGCTCCTCCTCCTTCTCCTCTTCATCCTCCTCCTCCTGCTCCTGCTCCTCCTCCTCCTCCTCCTCCTCGACCCGATACCGATTCGCCGCCGCCGCCGCCTCCTCTTCCTCCTTCTCCTTCTTCCTCCTCCTCCTTCTCCTCCTCCTCCTCCTCCTCCTCCTCCTCCTCCTCCTCCTCCCCCTCCTCCCCCTCCTTCCCCCCTCCAACTTATGGTGGTGGTGGTGGTGGTGGTGGTGGTGGAAAACAGGCCCATCACTCGAGGCGTCACGAGCAGATCACAGCAGCTATCCTATGCATGTTCGAAGGCCCGCGCGGGTTTCTTGGACCTGCAGTGGACTCCATTGCCAGCGCCTCCAGTGCCTCCGCCGGCGCGCGTGGCCCGGTGCAGACCCGAGAGACCCGCGCGGACCCTCGGATGAATTTTATTTTTCTTTCTGGAAGAGGAGCTTCGGTCGAGAACGTTTGCTTAGCGTGTCCCGCCACTGGTCCTGGCAGGCCGCGCCTCGGCGCGACACGCTAAACTCAAGTCGGGAGTGCCCCTCTACAGGAGGAAGATCCGAGAACGTTAAAACATAGTCTGGAGACGATGTCTCGATGTTTGCTGTATCGTGCGTTTTCTCTTGCTGTGTTCACCTGTCCTCCACAGATCCGCCCGTGAAAGGACATGCCCGGCCTCACGCTGCACTCTTCCCCGTCCGCTGGCGCCACCGTCCCGAGCTCGTCCCAGTCCCCCCCCTCGCCCAGCGAGGCGGCGCGGCACGCCGATTACTGTAGAAGCTCGGGGGGCACGGCGTGTCGCTCGGGGGGGCGGCCGCCGCGGCGCGCTGGGCAAGAGTGCCTGGCCGCAGGAGGTGCAGAGGGGAACTCTCAGGGGCAACCCTAGGCAACCCTCCTCCCTCCTCCGCACTCCTCCTCCTCCTCCTCCTCCTCCTCCTCCTCCTCCTCCTCCACCTCCCTCCTCCTCCTCCTCCTCCTTCTCCCTCCTCCTCCTCCTCATCCTCCTCTCCCTCCTCCTCCTCCTCGGTGAAAGTGACCTTTCGCCCGAGTGACCTTTGGGTGCGTGCCCAAGTCGAAAAAGAAAGAACTCCATAAGTCCATAAGCATAAATGTTCAGCGCTTCGCGTGGAGTTCTCGGATCCGCGCTGGCCCCCCCCCTGGCAGCGCCTCCGGCGCCGCTTCCGGCGCGCTCCGCGCACCGGGGAGGTGGGTCCAGCGCAGACCCCAGAAATCCGCGCAGAGCCCCCTAAAATCGCCCATCCAGCGCCGATCGGGGACCGATTCTCCCAACCCGCCCAGGGACGCGTGGATGACGCCACAGTCAACCCGTATAATTTGTGAGGATGCGCGCGGCAAGGATGCAAGGGCCTTGGACGCCCATTCCGAAGCTTTTCGAGCGGGGCGCGGCCAACGAAAGTGGCCAAGGACGGGCCGAGGAGGCAAGGTTGCAAGGGTACCCTTGGGAAGCTTGCCCATCCTTACTGTGCGGGTTGGCAACGTCGGGGGTCCTGTCGCCGATCTATCGGCAGCGCATCGGCCCCGAGTCAAGCTCAAGGTTTCTCCCCCCCCCCGAGCTGGTTCCCCTGGCGTCCAGCCGGGCATGTCCCTCCACAGGAGGAGTAGCCAAAAATAGTCACAACAAAATATGGGGACATGTTTGTTGTGTTTTCTACTTTTTTCACTATGTTTGAATATTGTTTGAAGTGTTCCTATTTGTTCTTCCAAGATCCGCCTGGAGGAGGACGTGCCCGACCGAACCCCTGTGCTAGCACGAAGAGAGGGCGGAACCGGCCCAGCCGCGACGGGGGGGGAGAGAGCGCGGTGCGGCCCCAACGAGGCGTTCTTCGCGCAGGCGGGCGGCCATCCGTTCGCAAGGACCCCCCCCCCCTCCGCGGGGCGCGCGGGGCGCGGCAGCGGAATCGACTACAGTCCTCCTCCTCCTGCTCCTCCTCCTCCTCCTCCTCCTCCTGCTCCTCCTCCTCCTCCTCCTCTCCCTCCCTCCCCTCCCCCTCCTTCCCTCCCTCCCTCCCCCTCCTCTTTCCTCCTCCCTCCCCCTTTACCTCCCCCTCCTCCCTCCTCCCTCCTCCCTTCCTCCTCTCTCCCCCCCTCCTCCTCCTCCTCCTCCTCCTCCTCCTCCTCCTCCTCCTCCTATCTCGAACCTCCAATAGAAGAACACCTTAAAAGATGGGGTGCAGCGCATTGCGGTTGCACTGCGCACCTTACATGTCGGAAACGGCCTGAGCGAATGTCGCGTATCCAGCGCGAGAATACCTGCATGCACAGTGCGCGTTCGCATGACCATGCAAAACCGGCACCGCCGCGCGCCCGCGTGCGCGGCGCGCCCTTCGGCTCGAGCCGCACGGAAACACTTATCAAAGCATCCACGCGGGAAAATTCCAATCTGTTGCTCGCGCGAAGCATGTGCAGTCGGCGCCATGTCTCGGGCCGCAGGGGCCACGCATGGCTTTCAAAGGGGCCCGTGGGGGCCCTGGGGCGGCCCGCGGAGTCGACCAGAGTGGAGCACATTAAGCGGCTGTTTCGGATGCTCCATGATGGCTCGCTCTCGGTTCCCCCCGGGGCCCTTCTGGAGCCATCTCGGGCCCCCCGAAAGCTTCGAGGGCGCCTCAAAGGATATCAAGACGGTCACATGGCCGACCAGAGTAGAGCATTTGAGCGGGTCGTCTCTGAAGCTGGTCCGATGACGGGGCCCACTGGAGCCCTCGCAGGCTCCCGTCGCGGCCATCTAGAAGTCCTTCGGAGGCCCAGAGGCTTCAAGAGGCACTAAGACGTCCCCCAGAGCCGACCATAGTGGGGCTATCGAAACGGCTGTTTCAGATGCCCCATTGCGGGTCGCTTTCGGGGTCGTCTTCGGGCCTTTTTGGGGCCACCTTGCCCCGGGGGTCTTGAGAGGGCCGCGAAACGGACCCAACCAGACAAAGCGAGGTGTTTCAGGGCGCTTTCTTTACCGGCTCGGTCTCGGCGTCCTGCGGGGCCCCTCCCAGGGCCCTGTTGGAGCAATCTTGGAAGCCCGAGGAGGCGCCAAGGGAGCTTGGGAAAGGGCTCCAGAACGGCCCGGCACCTCAACAAGACTGGAGTATTTGAAAATGTCGCGTCGGATGCCCCAGTCTCGCCCATGCCCAAGGCGCGAATTTCCGCGAGGGCCCGCCGCGTGAAACCATTACTTGAGAGCAATGTCGTGGCGACTGTGCCTCGGCAGACAAACAGCTGAGCGCGTGAATGCTTCGAGATAATGCATGCCAGACGGCTGAAACATGCAACGTTTGATGTTGCTTCTCTGAGGCGCCAGTGATTCGTCGACGCCAGACGCATAGACACGTCGCCAATTCATTAGTTTTCTTTCTCTGGGGCATGCCGGCGACGCGCCAGCAGTTGATCCGCGATGGGCGCCCGAGAAACATCACCATCGAGTTTTTAAACCGAAGTGCTTGCAGCGAGGCGACCCGCCCTTGCGTCGAACGGCCGATGGTCAGGGTGGCCCGCAACTATATGCATCCTAGAAAACCGCGGGGAGGCGCGGCATATCCATTGGCAAGTCGGAGCCCCTCGCCTGCGGTCGACCGCTCAAGTCGCTTTCCCTTCTGCGTCGAGGAGGTTGCGTTTCGCGGTGATTCGCGGAAGTCGCATGACATGTTCATGGGCTGGACTAGCTAGGAAATATCAGCCAAAATCACGAACTGGACATTCAGTCACGGAGATGGAGCAGCTTCGCCCTTTGAGCAGTTCAAGTTCAGCAGGGGTGTTCGATTCCCCGCTGAGACGCCTGCCATCGCGTCGGGCCGCCTCGGCCACGTCGGCGAGGCGGGGGGGTGCAAGCCGTCTGCGTGGGTGGTCAGGAAATCAATCGTTTGCGCGCCCCCCTCCGCCCATGCTGGGAGAAATCTTTACATTCGCGGCCGAGATGCGCCGGTGGTGCAGACGCAATGAGCGGACTGCCGCGGGGGGGCGACAGTCGCTCCAACATTGAATTTTCGGGCTCACCCGCCTCCCCCGGCCCCGAGGGCGCCCCCCGGATGCCCCCGGGGCGCTCCCGGGACACTCGACCGGGACGCTCCCGGGACACTCCCAGGACAGCCCCTCGGCGCTGCCAGGCTGTTCGCTCCAGTTTTTGGATTCCGCCCCGAGCGCGCCCGCCAGCGAAGACTGATAGGTTTCTAGTGGTGTCGAAAGAGAGCATCTGATGACTCAAAAGGGAGGTCTTGGCGGCATCCGGACAGCGAGGGCCGGGCTCAGGGCCGGGCTCGTTTTTAGCAAACAATCGCACAGTTCGTGCTCTTCGACTTCCCAGAACTCCATTCCCCGGGCCACATTTTGAATGCCCGGAGCCATCTGTAGGCCACTTCGTGTTCTTCGACTTGCCAGAACTCCATTCCCGGGCCACATTTTGGATGCCCGGAGCCAACTGTAGGACACTTCGTGCTCTTCGAGTTCCCAGAACTCCATTCCCGGGACACATTTTGAATGCCCGGAGCCACTTGTAGGCCACTTCGTGCTCTTCGACTTGCCAGAACTGCATTCCCGGGCCACATTTTGGATGCCCGGAGCCAACTGTAGGCCACTTCGTGCTTTTCGATTTCCCAGAACCTCACTCCCGGGCGACATTTTGAATCCTGAGGCAGGCTGATGTTGAGGCTGAGGCAGGCTGAGGCTGAGGCAGGCTGAGGCTGCGGCCGAGGCTGAAGGCAGACTGAGGCTGAGGCTGAAGCAGGCTGAGGCTGAGGCTGAGGCTGAGGCTGAGGCTGAGGCTGAGGCAGGCTGATGCTGAGGCAGGCTGAGGCTGAAGGCTGATGCAAGGCTGAGGCTGAGGCAGGCGCTGAGGCTGAGGCTGAGGCTGAGGCAGGCTGAGGCTGAGGCTGAGGCAGGCTGAGGCTGAGGCTGAGGCAGGCTGATGCTGAGGCAGGCTGAGGCTGAGGCCGAGGCTGATGCAGGCTGAGGCTGAGGCAGGCTGAGGCTGAGGCCGAGGCTGAAGGCAGACTGAGGCTGAGGCTGAGGCTGAGGCAGGCTGAGGCTGAGGCTGAGGCAGGCTGATGCTGAGGCAGGCTGAGGCTGAGGCTGAGGCTGATGCAGGCTGAGGCAGCCTGAGGCTGAGGCCGAGGCTGAAGGCAGACTGAGGCTGAGGCTGGAGCAGGCTGAGGCTGAGGCTGAGGCAGGCTGAGGCTGAGGCTGAGGCAGGCTGATGCTGAGGCAGGCTGAGGCTGAGGCTGAGGCTGATGCAGGCTGAGGCTGAGGCAGGCTGAGGCTGAGGCCGAGGCTGAAGGCAGACTGAGGCTGAGGCTGAAGCAGGCTGAGGCTGAGGCTGCGGCAGGCTGAGGCTGAGGCTGAGGCAGGCTGATGCTGAGGCAGGCTGAGGCTGAGGCTGAGGCTGATGCAGGCTGAGGCTGAGGCAGGCTGAGGCTGAGGCCGAGGCTGAAGGCAGACTGAGGCTGAGGCTGAAGCAGGCTGAGGCTGAGGCTGAGGCAGGCTGAGGCTGAGGCTGAGGCAGGCTGATGCTGAGGCAGGCTGAGGCTGAGGCTGAGGCTGATGCAGGCCGAGGCTGAGGCAGCCTGAGGCTGAGGCGAGGCTGAAGGCAGACTGAGGCTGAGGCTGAAGCAGGCTGAGGCTGAGGCTGAGGCAGGCTGAGGCTGAGGCTGAGGCAGGCTGATGCTGAGGCAGGCTGAGGCTGAGGCTGAGGCTGATGCAGGCTCAGGCTGAGGCAGCCTGAGGCTGAGGCCGAGGCTGAAGGCAGACTGAGGCTGAGGCTGAAGCAGGCTGAGGCTGAGGCTGAGGCAGGCTGAGGCTGAGGCTGAGGCTGAGGTAGGCTGATGCTGAGGCAGGCTGAGGCTGAGGCTGAGGCTGATGCAGGCTGATGCTGAGGCAGGCTGAGGCTGAGGCCGAGGCCGACGGCAGACTGAGGCTGAGGCTGAAGCAGGCTGAGGCTGAGGCAGAGGCAGGCTGAGGCTGAGGCTGAGGCAGGGTGATGCTGAGGCAGGCTGAGGCTGAGGCTGAGGCTGATGCAGGGTGAGGCTGAGGCAGGCTGAGGCTGAGGCCGAGGCTTAAGGCAGACTGATTTTGAGGCTGAGGCAGGCTGAGGCTGAGGCTGAGGCAGGCGCTGAGGCTGAGGCTGAGGCTGAGGCACAACGAGGCTAAGGCTGTGACTGCGACTGCCGTTGCCACTGCGACTGCCATCGCGAATGCGACTACGACTGCGAGAACAGCAGAATTCTACAACAGGATTATCATCTGAATCTTAAGGGGAATGCTTCCAGATATGCTCCTACACATCGCTGTTAGGTTGGTTTGCCGGGATATTTTTTACTTAACAGCGAAGACTGATAGGTTTCCAGTGGTGTCAAAAGAGAGCATCTGATGACTCAGAAGGGAGGTCTGGGCGGCATCCGGACAGCAAGGGCCGGGCTCAGGGCCGGGCTCGTTTTAAGCAAACAGTCGCACACTTCGTGCTCTTCGACCTCCCAGAATTCCACTCCCGGGCCACATTTTGAATGCCCGGAGCCAACTGTAGGCCACTTCGTGTTCTACGACTTCCCATAATTCCATTCCCGGGCCACATTTTGGATGCCCGGAGCCACCTGTAGGCCACTTCGTGCTCTTCGACTTCCCAGAACTCCATTCTTGGGCCACATTTTGGATGCTTGGAGCCACCTGTAGGCCACTTCGTGCTCTTGGACTTCCCAGAACTCCATTCCCGGGCCACATGTTGGATGCCCGGAGCCAACTGTAGGCCACTTCGTGTTCTTCCACTTCCCAGAACACCATTCCCGGGCCACATTTTGAATGCCCGGAACCAACTGTACGCCATTTCGTGCTCTTCCACTTCCCAGACTTCCAAGACTCATCATCTTCATCATCATCATCATCAT